AAGTTCCAATGATTAAAACATACTCAACAAAACTAAAAATAAGCTTGCCCTCTTTCCGAATGCAGTTAATTTTCTTATGTCATTCTGTTAACTATGGACCGATTTTTTCGATCTTTTCAGCTTTGTTCTTCATTTATTGAACGGAAACAGGTGTTGTTATTCATGTGGCGATTCACAAATAACCACGGGAGTTTCCGTGTTTATTTACATTGGTAGGTAGATAAGACAATCGATACCAAATCACGTGATAAGACCAGCTAAAGTTAAAAGAACAGGCGAAGGCGGCATCACAGATACCCCACAAAGGAGTTATTACGTACTTGACAAACTGAGTCGGAACCTTTTATTTTTTTAAAGAAATCAGTGGGATGGGAATGTGCTAATTTTTCGTTGGAGTTCCTGTCAATATAATACTTCCATGCTTAGAGTAATCAATTGTCGAAATGCCCATCTGGTGCAGTATAATTGATACTGTTAATGGTATAATTACCACTAATTCGATACCTCTGCTGATAAGCTGTAAATTCCAAAAGGTTTTTCCAGCAAAGAAGCCAGTTCCTTGGAACTAATGAAAATTCGGATACAGTTTGAGTGAAATTTGCTGTAAAAAATGGAAATCATTATAAATAAAATAATGTATCTCCTTTATAACAAAGTTCTGATATCTTGTCCGGGTTTTTATATACTTTTGGTCTTATTTTTTGTTTTAATCAGCTTATGAATTATATGTATACTTGGCTCGCACATTACTGAAGAGACATTTATTTTCGAAATACGTATCTGGTGCAGTAAACTCCTTCCCTTTCACAACGGTTAAGACAAATTGTTTGAGTTAATAGATATAAGAAGATGTGGTATGAGTGCCAATGAGACAACTCTCCATGCAAGTCAAAATTTAAAAAAGTAAACCATTATAGGTCAAAGGACGGTCTTCAACATGGAGCCTTGACTCACACCGAACAGTAAGCTATAAAGGGCCCCAAAAATTACTAGTGTAAAACCATTCAAACGGGAAAACCAACGGTCTAATCTATATAAAGAACGAGAAACGAGAAACACTTATGAACCACATCAACAAACGACAACTACTGAACATCAGATTCCTGACTTAGGACAGGTGCAAACAAATGCAGCGGGTTTAAACGTTTTAATGGTACCAAACCTTCACCCTTTTTTAAGTCTCTTTTCTTCGACACTTTTTGGCGTACAGATGCAGTTAATACCTCAAATTAATATTCAGAATACCTAGCAATGGGATTGAACGTGCATCAAACTTCTATCACTTACTGTTTAATGTCGATTTATCTCTTATTGACAAGTATAAAGTTTTTATAAACCTTTTATTTTATCAGAATATTTTCACAGAATATTGTATAGTATGCTATTGATTTGTCGAAATTTTTTTTTCATTTTGGAAGAATGTTATTAAAATTATAATCTGAGCTTAGGCATAAGTTTAATATGTGATTCATACAGTGCCAGCGCAATCACAAACTCGAAATACACTCAAAATTCATTTAATTTTTTTACAGAATTGATTAAAAAAGACACAAAAACCCCAAAAATATCTCTCACTTGAGTAGTAGAGTGACTTTACTACTATTATAATTATATCTTTAAGAATTGCTGTGTTGCTGTGTAAATTAAGCTGAACCAAAAAAAGACAAATGAATACATCCAAAATTCAGATTAAGATAATATTGATTGTGACGGGCCAGGGTACACCACAGCACATAATTTATAAAATTATGTTGCATAGAATTTTCTCTTGTAAAGTCTAAATTTTGTTAACTTCTTGATTTTTCCCTAATTTCTCGTTACTTTTGGAGAGATACCGTATAATCAATGAAAAACATATTTTCTTCAAATATAATTTTCTGAAATATTCAATCAATTATCCATCATAACAACTCAATATAGACTTTGAAGAAGCCTTGGTGCGATTAATGCTCTATTCAGTTGAACTTGGGTAGTGTTTTTGATAAGTGTAAAGGTTTAAATTGTCTAGAAAGGAAATGGTTCATGTTTTAACTATCACTGGATCGATATATCTGCTGGTGGACTGTTATTACAAGCAAAATAGCCAGTACTTCGGTACTGGAATGACCATACGGATATTCCTTGGTTGTAGTATGATGTTCTAAAATATTGAAAATCGTTTTTGATTACGAAATATATAAATCACCCTCATGCAAAGAATTGATATGTTCATAATTATAAATTGACTGTTAACAAAATTTGAGATTTATTACTGATTTTCTACCTCAGGAATAGATTACTTGAGCTTTATTTGATTTGGAAAAACCTTAAGGAATTTTGAGTCCTAGATACTCTTCAACTTCGTACTTTATTTGTTCTTTTTAACTTTTTTGATTCAAGCCTCACTGATCAGTCTTTTGTGGACGAAGCGCGCGTCTTGCGTACAAAATGTTAATCCTAGTATCTATGATGAATTTATTGATAAATTGAGGAATGGATTAGAAAAAAAGTAACAACTCCCTGAGGCAAATTTGACCTCAGATGGGTTTGGTTATTCTTTTTCGTGCTCTTTTGGACATATAACTCTTGACGTGTTTTAGTTTTTATCATCCTTGTTTTTCGAAGATTTCTATTTGAGCATTCCTGATTCCAGATGAAGATGAATAATGAAAAGTGCTTCGGACGTGCGAATTTATTCAACTTTTTTTCATTCGCCATTCCTGTTATAACTACCATTGGATTGAAACCTCTTTTGGTGAACTGTTACTACCCGGGTATATCCCCAGTCCAATCCCTCAACTTTGCTTTCCGCTACATAGACGTAATACTTCAAAGTTTGATGCCACTGCTGGAGGATGTTTCCTCCCCGAGAGTATCGCTAGCCAAGTAATTTAACACTTCTGTGTTGACATGTATTATCATCTAATCAGATAGGGTCGTAATAATAAATTCATTGTTAACAAAACTATAAAATTTTCGAAATACTAAGGATTTTCTATCCCAGGAATACATGACCTCAGCTGTATTTGGCAAAATCTTCCGGAAATTTTAGTCCTCAATGATCTTCAACTTCGAACTTTTTTTTTTGCCTTTCTAACTTTTTTGATTCGAGCGTCACTGATGAGTGTTTAGTAGACGAAGCGCACGTCTTACGTAAGCCTGGTATAAATGATGAGTTTATTTGGTGACTATGATGAACATGTTATTCCATAAAACTTAAAATAAATAATACCACCGATACAGCAAAGTCTATTTTATATCTTGACTTACAAAATGAAATTGACAATAAGGATTCGTTGAGAACTAAACTTTACGACGAAAAAATAATTTCACCTTCCCAATTGTGAACTTTTCATTTCTTTGTAGCAGCATTCAAGCAGCGCATGCAGGTATTGAGAAAACATATCCCAGTTGATACGAAATTTCAGAGCTTGCGTTTCCGATAACAGTCATAACAAAGATACTGTACCAAGGATTCCTAGTGTTAAGGCTTATATGATATTATTTTAATTGAAATTCAGTTATAAAATTTTGGAAATCATTTGAAGTTAAGGAATATAGCACCCTCATGCAAAGCTCTGATTTCTTGTCTGGATTTGACTATACTTTAGTTCCTTTTTTGTTTGATCAGCTCTTCAACGTGTGTACTAGGTTTTGGATTTTCATATATTTTGACCTGTCACCACTGAAGAGTAATTAATTGTCGCAATGCGCATCTTGTGCAGTAAAAGTGGTACCATTTATATTATTAAAGTCATCCCTTCAAAAATGTTTACGCACGCCATTAGAGTTGCTTGGCCGTTATGGAATATCTGTCACAGATAAAAACAGACATGTTTCAATTGTCGTGGCCAAAATCCCGTCCTCTTTCCGATTGTGATATCACATAATTAGACTTGCCATAGAGTTTTTGCTTACCATGAGCAACACGACATGATGAGCAAGATCTTCGTATTCTTTCGGGTTTATGTTGGATTAGTCTTCTATGTAGTATTTTGAAGAGTTTTTTTTTAATTCTTATTATTCGCTTGGTATCTTCAGCCTTTTTTTTTGTTTATTTTTTCTTTAAATATGCTGTTCTTTTCTATCTATGCTTTTGTGTAAAATAAAATATACTTTTACTTACTGTTAAGATGTCTGAGAACGTATAAAAGGTCATAAAAAATAAAAAAAATATATAACATTAACGATACCAATTTTTTTGAGGAAGGATTTGAATGGTCAAACTTTTAAAATCTATTGGTAAAAGTATTTCTCACTTATAACTTGTTAATACTCATAGTAATATGAATGGGATTGTTTCCTTTGATCTTCGAGGGAGTTCGCAGCTGACGTATAAAAAGGTGCACATGTGCCTTAACAGGTCGGGTTTTATGTTAATGCATTATCCTATCCTCCCTGAAAACAGATTATCGTATTAATGATATATCATCACTGCCACATCTGACACAATGTGGAAATTTGGAAGCCAATCAGGTACACTTTCAGCAAATGATAATATCCTTCTCATTTTTAATGATCATGATCGATTATAACAATTTTGCCATTTAATGAATGTTCGACTAAGACAATGTATGTCCAGAGGAATATTTTAAATGCATATTCAGGACGATGCCATTTTAATGAGATATGAATACATTCTGCTTGGGACCGACATGCATAGAACATTTTGAATTAGCTAGGTAATTAGGTAATAAATAGTCCACAGACATATCACCGTACTCCAATTAAGACACATTATTTTGACTCCAAGCAAACTAGTCATTGCTCCTACTATGAAATGCCATATGTTAGAAGTAAGCAGTAAAACCAATTTTAAAGTCTTGGTTTGACCAGCCAATGATCAACCTAATGCCCTACCACATTTCAGGTGAGCACCCTGACTTCTGATGTGGTTGGTTTCAACTTGGACGAATTGCTGATAATGTAACAGCTTTAGTGCTGATTCTGAAAGGACTTAATCAGAAACGTTACTTATACCTTCTGAATCATAAAGATGGTGATTTTTATTAAATACAATCAACATGATACTTATGTTTTATTAAAAAGCACTCTTGTACAAAAATCGTTCACATTGTAATATGTTATAAACAATGATATATTATGAAAACTTTGCTAAAATTATGCTCAACATTTAATAAAAGACTGATTCCTCCTAGTAGTCTGTATTCTCATTTAGAAATTCATAACAATGGAATGAACAGTCGAATATTTCCTTCTTAAAGAAGCACCAGGAATACATCATCCTTAATTGATTTCTACAGACTATGGTCAGTGCAGAGAAACTATTTAACCATTGTCTGGCTATATAAACAGTGGTATGAATTGGATGAAATATTAATCATTTAAGAAGAAAAATACATCAAAGATATCTGGCTTAAGATTATTAAAGCATAGATTAGTTTTAGCTAGGTGAAGCTATCTCAATGGTTTCAAAAGCAAACATGCATTAAATGGACAAAATGTCACCTAAATTAAGTGAATATTAGTAAATATCATGAGGGTTATTTCGTACATACTACGTTTTTGTTTTGCATCAAGAAAAAAGTTTTATATCAACCAAGTGGGTAAAATAAACACATAGCAAGATCTATTAAATCCAAATGTCCCTCTGACCTAGTAAAATGTTTGGTACAAATACGATTGAACAAATATTCCTTTCTTTATTGTTACATTAACCTATTAGGTCTTTTTTGGGTTGCTCACACAATTTTGTCAACATAAAGGAACTATAAACAACTGTCATACAAGTGGGAAGTTAAGCTAGCTATAAAACCAGGTTTAACCCACCATTTACTCGGAAAATGACTGTACCAAGTCAGGAATATGGCAGTTGTTTTTTACTTGTTCAGTTGATTGATAGCATTTAATTCTGTCATTGGAGTTCGGTATTTTTGTTATACTTTTTTTCTATACCAAAATATACAAAATGTTTTCTTTCTTTGAAGGTGGAGGGTAATTTACTGATGCAAAACAAAATATAAATATTATGAATGAACATTGCAATAATTTTTATTATTCAATTTCGCTCACTTCAAGTCAAAATAATTAATACTAAATAGATTCATTCTGTGATAAACCATTCAGTATCATACTAATTGCTAAAAACAAACATAGTTTTCAGTGGTTTTTGCTTATAGTTAAACGTTAATGTCAAATTTAATTAGTGTTCTAAACCAAATAAATCAAGAACAGAAACATTGGGATCTTGTGAAATTGAGAATAGTCTATATATCTTACTTAATGTAAAGGAATGTATACGATGGTTTGGCTGTAGATCTTGATATAGACTGCCAAATCAATAGCACGTTCTTCACATTTTAACACAGAGAAATAGTTTTCATCTGCTATTGAAGAAATTTCAGAATAAAATGTTAAGCAATTCAAAGCAACTTTGTTTTTACTGGTACTTTAGGTATTATAGCGCAATACACAAAACAAGCTTGACTGAAAAGAATCAATCTTTAATGTTTGATTCTTGCCATGTTTTTCTTGTGCACTTCAATGGAGCTTTGTTCATTCAATACCAATAGATTTAACAAATTCAAATTGTCCTGATGAAGTACTTTTTTCAAACTAATTAATAGGATAAGTTTGATTTTGCCTAACATCTTTTGAAACAAAATATAATCATTTGAATTGAATGGTACATATATTATCATTACTCTATGTCTGCCTCATATATGCACAAGCAATAGCCTTAGCTTTTTCTATTAATTGGCTGATCAGTTTAAAGTAGAAGTGAATTGAAGCTGCAAAGTGACAAAGTGATTTCCTGAATTGGCACAGCAATACAATTATACATGCAAGAGATAATAAATCAATCAATACATTACATATAAAAAGTTACAATAGTGGACCCAATTTCATTGCACAAGATGTGCATTCCAACAATTACAAAATGTCATTCCAATCAAAAATGTTGATGGTACATCTATTTATAATTTTGTTGTATGTTTATTGAAAAAGTTATACAAAAAAATGGGTATACCATTTGAATGAATATCTTCCATTGTTCATCAGTTTTCAAAACTGATGAACACTTTAAATGTCATCAGCAAAATGCAGAAAAGTTATGTTTTTTATATAATAAAATATTGTTGTTGAAAATTCATGTTGTAATACTGCAATAACATAAAAGGGACAACATATTGTTGCATGTCATTTAAAGCTCATATTACAAGTACAATTGTATCAAAAGAAAAACTCTGGAAAAATAAAAAAAATATAATATACATTGTATGTATATATATATATATATATATATAAAAACAAGTCTAAATTGAAAACAACGTTCAAACCTATGATTGCGTTGGATAAAAACCACAATTTTTATATGTGTGCATGCAGAACAAATTTCTTGGTAGAGGGGTCTAAATACAGCAGAAACAACATTTTCCAAAAGACCAAAAAATGAAAAAGTATATTTTGCATTTGACTAGCAGGTCAAACAACTGATTTTCTTAAACCCTGCTGACTGCCATGCCATATAATTTGTCTCAAATTTAGCCCAACATTGTTAGATGTGCAAATTTGCATTAGCAAATTTTTGTTCTTCCCTCATCGGGATTCCAACTCTTGCTTCTGTGACATCGTTGCAACGCAGCCTGCACTGTGTCCAGTGCCCTAGCCCACTCCACTAACTAGGCTATATAAAAATGTAGTTTTAGTCAGTTGAGTTATGCCTTGAAGTTTCCTCATCGGCTTTATCTAGGGTTGTAACACAGTACATGATGTATAGTGGCAAGTAGATGGTGTACCTTTCAGAATAGCTATTTTGTCTGTCGTACAGGATAATAATGTTAATTACCATACCGCCACATCAAATTTTTATTTTATTATACACGTCTAAACATGTGACAACATTATGACAGACATTCTCGATAAGATAACACATAGTTAAACAGGGCTAACAGTAGTAAGCTACTAAAATCTTTTTATAATGCAGCAGGGGTATGGGGTATATAGAAAGAAGTAAAGTAAGTTTTGCACCATTCCTTTTTCAAGAAAAAAATTAAGGCAGTGCCATAAAAACTTACAGCATTTAAATTCCAATTAATTCTTAAAAAATAATATAAATGGCACAACTGTAAAAACCTTTTTTTGTGATGATCTTGAAATTAAATAAGAATTTTATGGGAAAAAAATTTACCTCCTCAAGTATTCTCTTTATACTTCATCCCCTACCTACTTCAAAGTATTTTTTATTGTATATGACAGCTAGTTATGCCAGTAGAGAAAACGATTCCACCATTAGGTATTTTGCAAAACATAACAAAAACAAAACATAACACAACAAACAGATAAACAAAAAGAACACAGAAATAAACAGTATTGTTGGTGTACTTGATTACTAACAAAATATACTGCAAAATCTTATTTATTTTTTTGTACAATAAACCTTTAACTAAAACCCCAGGATACCCCCTAATCCTATTTGTTTCAATTTTCTTTTAATGTCTATGTATTAAAACATGCAACAAAGTAAAAATATATTGATTAGGCATTATACACAATGGCAACATTCTATAAAGAACATGTCACAAAAATATTGCTTGGGAGATTTGAAATACAATTTTCTCAAGCTTTTTATGTAACAAGTTTATCAATTGGCAACTTTTTGCAATCAAAGTCACAGATGACATAATACAACTAATGAATTCATTTGAAGTGAGTTACCAAGTTTGTTTTTTTAAATTTTGAAATATAATCCGTCATAAAACCTGAATTGTCTAAAACATAGTTTATCTATTTGACATCTTGTCATCAACTGGCTACATATCCAAGTGACAGGGTAGAATCAATTTTTAAGACCCTGCCACCATGGGCCATACAAAATTTCCAAGACCATGTTTTAATTCCTATATTCATATATATATATATATAAACAATATAAATTAAGCAATGATTAAAGTATTAACTGGATAACCGGATACTATCTTAAATGGTATAAGAGTGGTTTAGAACAACAGTTCCTCTCTGATGATCCCCAATGGGCTGCATGAAATTTCCAATACCCCATAAGTTTGCATATGTAAATTGATTTGTCATTTAAGTTTCTATTTTTTTATCCTTAGTAGCTGGGAGAGTTTTACCGATTTACTGGTTATCAAGAAATTTATTTTTCCCATAATTTGTCCTTAGGCCATATATCAAAATATAAAACCTAAGGAACAATATACATTTTAAGCATGAAAATTATGCCAAGTTGCAAGATTCTGCAATTTTTTGTTGGTGAGATTATAATATTCTAAACATGATATGCAGACCAACAGATGTACATATATACCACACAAAGTAAAACAATATGCATAAAAATTTAAGTTATAAAAAGTAATAAATATAATACTGTGGATTCATTATTATTCGTTGGATACCAATTTTCGTGGATTTCATGGGTACAGGCAAACCACGATATTAAATGTTCAATGAATGACAAGTTTCCTATAGGTTTGTATGTGGAATTCGGCAAAACCACAAAATCAAATATCAACGAACTGGTAAGGTTTCGTTAATCCACGAAAATTGGTACCCACGAAAATAAATGAATCCACAGTATAGCTAAAAAAAAACATAATTTTCTATATTTTCTTCCATCGATTTCTCAACAATTAAGTACTTAATATTAAATAAGAAATTGTTGAGTTTGTTGGGAGATCATTTAAATCTGTATCAATAACATAAAGCACAAAACAGTTGCCATGAGAGCCATAATAGGTATTAAGACAGCTTGAATAAAATGCTCCGCTGGGCGCAGCTTGATACGACCGCAGAGGTCGAATCCTGAACAGTTGGGGAAAGTATGGACACAACATTCAAGCTTGATACAGCTCTGAATTTGGATTGTGATTAACTATTTGACACAGCATAGGTTTCTGACACAGAATGAATGTGTTAAGAACTTAAAAAAATTTTAATTTACCAATTATGGTTCAATATCCAAAATCTAAATACATGGTTAGATTCAGCATATCAAAGAGTCCAAAGAACTCAATTTTTGATGAAATCAAACAAAGTTTAATTTTGGACCCTTTTGACCTCAATGTGTTCCAAATTTGATAAAGGGGCCCAAAAATCAAAATACATGGTTAGATTCAGCATATCAAAGAACCCCCATGTATTCAATTTTTGTTGAAATCAAACAAGGTTTAATTTTGGATCCCAACTTGGACCAACTTGAAAACTGGGCCCATAATCAAAAATCTAAACACATGTTTAGATTCAGCATATCAAAGAACCCCAAGAATTCAATTTTTGCTAAAATCAAACTAAGTTTAATTTTGAACCCTTTGGACCTTAATGTAGACCAATTTAAAAAACGGGACCCAAAATTAAAAATCTAAATACACGGTTAGATTTGGCATATCAAAGAACCCCAATAATTCAATTTTTGATGAAATCAAACAAAGTTTAAATTTGGACCCTTTTGACCTCAACATGAACCAATTTGATAGCGGGGCCCACAAATAAAAAATCTAAATACATGTTTAGATTCAGCATATCAAAGAACCCCATATATTCAATTTTTGTTAAAATCAAACTAAGTTTAATTTTGGACTCATTGGACCTTAATGTAGACCAATTTGAAAACTGGACCCAAAATTAAAAATCTAAATACACAGTTAGATTCGGCATTACAAATAAATAAATGTGGTCAAAGATTTTACAAATCTAATGTGCCATACTGTGCACTTAAAGATTACTTCTTGAAATTTTTCAATATTTGAAATTTGAAAAAAAAATAATATTTGAAGAATAATTATTTTTAATTTCTGAAATCTGAAATGAGAAAAATTTGACCGCCTGCAATTTCTTTTTATCCCCCCTCCCCCCCCCCCCCCTCCCCCCCCCCCCCCCCCCCTTTCCCCCAAATAAATTCTTTCCCTCAAGATATGGTCATAATCTCAATTCAAATTTCCAATGGAGTTTGCAACCATAATTACCCATTTAAATTTACCATAGTGCTAACTTAATCTATTTTATAATAGAATTTAAAATATGGTGTCAAATCTTTCATATGGATTTTTTTGTAAAAATAAAAGATGCAACATCTGCAGATATTTTTACTGGTCTTCCTTTATAAATATGCATTTCTTTAAACATAATTTAAAAGCAGTGTAAGGGAAGTAATCAAAACGTTGTATTTGGATTACCTCCCTTACACTGTTTTAAATTGTCTTAATTGTTCATTAACCATTACTTTATACATAATTTAAAAGCAGTGTAAGGGAGGTAATTCAAATGATGTATTTGATTTATCTCCCTTACACTGCTTTAAATTATGTTTTGTACTAAAGTATTTGTCCATTAACCAGGACAACCTTGTTTTTCCCCCTTTTTTTGCCCCTAATTCCTAAACCTTTTGAGCCATAACCCCCCAAAGCAAATCCTAACCATCCCTTTGTGGTATGGAAACTTGTGGTATAATTTCAGAGAGATCCATACACCGTTTCACAAGTTATTGTCTGGAAACAAGAAAATGCTTATTTTTGGCCCCTTATTCCTTAACTGTTGGTACCATAACCCCCAAAATCAATCCCAACCTTCCTTTTGTGGTATTTAACCTTATGGTAAAATTTCATAGAGATCCATTCACTTAACTAAAGTTATAGTGCGAAAAACCAATGTGGCTTCGGACGACGACGACGACGACGACAACGACATACCAATATACGACCACAAAAATTTTTGTGGTCGTATAAAAACCATCTTTACCCCATAATATGCTGCCTGTTTCAAATAAGTGTTTAACCCTGATTACAGTATTTAATTACACACAATCATGATACTTTCAAAACACATTTCATGCAGACTTTTAAAGCAAGAAATATTTTGAACAGAAGCGTCTTTGTGTCTGGTTATCCATTTTAGCCATATTCAAACTCAAATACAAAATTTGATTCTCTTAATTCATGTTAAAACAAAACAATTTCAAAGAGGACTGCGGCTCTTTTAACAAAAAATCTTAAGAGTAAAAATACTTGTAAGTCATACACATTTCAGTATAACTTACGATAAATTTTAATATTTTTGTGAAAAGAGTCACAGGATGGCAATTTTAAGTATTATTCTAATTTCAAATTCATAGTAAATATAACTCTAAAGAAAATAAATGTACACTATAACCAGAACTCCCTTATTCATTACAATGTGGATAGATTCATGAAAGTCCTGATGTAATACTGTATAATTTTTTCTTCAAACAACTACTTAATGAACGGTCATTAATTTTTCAATTCTTAAGAAAATCCAAACCAGTTGATATTATGACCTTGTTCTGGTATTTTATATTCTATTTGTCTATTGAAAAAAGTCTTAGAAAAATGGCAACCATGTCTTGTTGAATAGATTCATTACTTCATTGAAGTATAACAGATGTAGATCAATTGTTGTCCACTTTCTTTTCCTTTTGTCACTCTATCTTCAACTCAAGTTTCTGTAAGAAAAATAGGTTGGTTACAGAATAATGATGTGTCACGCTTAAACTCAAGTTTGTGTAAGAAAAATTGGTTTTTATAAAGCATAATGATGTTTCATACAAACAATTACATTAAATTTTGTGTCTTGACAGAAGCTGCATTACTATACTGAAAGATGGGGTCTTCAATCTTTTTTCAAAATAAGGTTTCACACTTTATATTTACCAGTTTTATTGAAATGTGATACATTCTCTCATCTGTGATACATCAATTCAACTGAACAAGTATTATAAAAGCTTTTTTTAAACTGTTTAAATGCAAATTATTCAATAGTGTTATTATGATCCTTACTGGGCCCAATTGTGATGGAAATAAACAGTCAGCAAAAAAGGTCATGCAATTTTTATAAATGCAATACAACAGCATTCCAATGGTCCATGCTGCATATATTTTACTTTCAAAGGACAATAAATCCAACATATTTAGATAGGTTCTTTAAAACATTTTAATAAATATCCTACAAGAAATGTAGGCATCAGTTTGCGTAAACAATGTATTTTTCCATAAAATTTTTATTTCCAAGGAACATAACTCCTGCCAAAAAAAAATTAAATGCAAATTGAAATTATCCAAGATCTTGGTGATATCAACCGTTAATTGCAACAGAGAACAATAATGTAACGTTAAGGTGGTACCTAACACTCAGGGAGATAACTCTGTAAAAATCAGCTAAACGTTTTAATTACGTTGTATTGTTAAGGAAATATTAAGCTTCTCAATGATCAAAATTAGTGTTTGTCAAACTGCTATATAACCAATGAAATATTTCTGATAAAGTGGTTGGTTCAAATTTTGTGAAAATTTTATATTTTTGTCAAAGGGTCAAAGTTAACATTTTGTCCAAATTTTATGAAAATTAAACGAGCCAAATTAATATTAGTCAAGGTGTTGGGTACCACCTTAAGTGGTGTTCAGATAACAAATCAAAATATTTGTCCTCAAGTTACCAAGAGAACAAAACAGGAGGAAAATTGCACTTTTTATAAACATACTGAAAAAATTTCTTTTTATGAAATGAAAGTATGCTATTACATACATATCATATAAGTATCATTTTTCTACAAGCTACCTCCCCTTTCAAAATTACAAATTTTTGTGTATTTCTAGAATATATCTTAGTATCATTAAAATAGAATATTTAAGTAACAGCCGTTCAAAAAAAAAAAGCTGCACCAGGCGCATGAGGAGTGCAAGGAAGGGGGACACTTACTATGAAATGAGTGGTAGGGATGTGCAACTGGAATATGTGACTATTTCAAGCTTAGAAATATATGATGAAGTAGAAAAATTAAGATGAAATATATAAAAAGGTTGCTGATTAAGTCAGATTTCAATATTTTTTCACTGTTGCCATTAAACCAAATATTTTAATTGTTTTTGTCATAAAACCATTTCTTAAATTTAGGATTTGGTTGAAATTCCAATTTTTTGCTGTAGGAAACCCCATAACATAATCTTTCATCAAAGAGAAAGGGGCTTTAAACCATAGAAAGAACTGCATATGCAGAAAATAAATGAAACAAAAGACTCCCAAGAAGCCTGAATCACTCACTTGGTAAAAAAATGCCATTTTGATATGTATTTTACTGTTATTGCAATCAGTTGTGTCTGCTTACATGTAAATAAAATTAAGTGGCATTTCTGTAGAGCTTGTGTGTGTTGGTAGTTTGTGCCACAGGATTGTGTATGCGTCTAGTGTGGGTTATAGCCATAGGTTCTTATACCACAGCTGGCTAGCATGCTTTGCAGGTGAAAAGAAAGCTGAGTGAGTAAGTCTTTTTGCAAGTACATAGCCTCTACACTATTCAAGACTTCTGCAATGCCTCCTCGCGACAGCACACGGTAACTAGGGTCCAGCATCCTAGGCATAATTGAAGAGGATCTCGGAGCAGCAAGGGCCCCAGAGATGCAGTGTGTAGGACCACCGTCGCGTGGAAATGCCCTTGCACTCATCAACCTTGCCCCAGCTATGGGAAAATAATTTTTTTCTATTTACTGTTACTCCCCATCTATCATAGTTTCTGCAAAATGTGCAAACATTGGTAAAAATCATCTTTCAAGGGCAATAACTCCTCTAAAGGGTCAATTGACAATTTCAAACCATGTTTTACTGCTGTGTAAATCTTGTCTTGCTAAACAATTTTGCTATAAGTCGTTGCTCTGTATCTATCATATGTTCTGCTAAATCATAACATGGGTAAAAATAGTCATTCAGGGGCAATAACTCATATAAGGAGTCAGTTGACAATTTCAACTATGTGGGTAGTTTCGACTTATTTGTAAATCTTATTGTATTTAACATCTTTTCTAATTACAATTATCTATTATGGTTTCTGCAAAGAATGTTAGTAGTTAAATGACAATTTTCACCATTGTGACAGATCTAAAGATTTTATGCTTAACAATTTTGCTGTTTACAGTTTTTCTTTATCTATTATGGTTTCTGCAAAAATGGGGACAAAAAGAAAATCAGCTTTCAAGGGCAATAACTCCTATAAGGGTTCAATTGATGATTTGGGTCATGTTGCCTAATTTGTAGATCCAACTGTGCTGAACATTTTTGTCTTGAAACAATTTTTCTATCTTTTAAAGTTTCTGCAAAAAAAAAAATAAAAAAATAAAAAAAATAAAATAAGAATGTGTCAAAGGGATACAGACCTTCCTGCTTGTAAATAAACAGCAAATTCAGCTAATTTCCATAAATTCATAAAATAAAACTCAAAATCAGTGAAAATGACAAAATTTATCTGTGTTTGGTGGTATGAGCATCATGTATGAGTTTCATAACACATTGTTGTGGTAAACTAAAGTTAGAGTGCAGAAACAGCAAATTTAGCAATTTTTGGATTTATTAAGGTGGTACCAATCACCTTGACTAAATTTAATTTGGCTCGTTTAATTTTCATAAAATTTTGACAAAATATTAACTTTGACCCTTTGACATAAATATAAAAATTTCAAAAAACTTGAACCACACACTTTCTAGGAAAATTTTCATTGGATATATAGTAGTTTGACAAACACTAATTTTGATCATTGTGAAGCTTAAATTTCCCTAACAATAGAACTTGATTAAAACGTTCAGCTGATTTTTAAAGAGTTATCTCTCTGTAGTGTTATGTACCACCTTAAGGGACATAACTCAAGAAGGTGAAAGTGGTTGAGACAAATGAAAGTTAGAGAAAATGGAAAACAATTTTGGGACTAAAGAACAGACAAGGATAAAAATTAATGCCCTTGTCACCTAACAGTGGGGGTCTTAAAATCCATTTCAAGGGCCAAAATACATATAAGGGGTCAATTGCCAATTTTGTCTATGTTGACCTGTTTGCAGACCTCCATTTGCTGAACATTTTTACTATTAAAAGATTTTTCTATCTACTATAGTTGTTACAAAAAAGAGTAATCAAAGTGCTTGTAAGCACTGAAGAGTAAAGATTGCTTTAATTTATTAGTGGAAGTAAAATTAAATATTGCATTGTATAAAGCATTGGTTGTTGTTGATTCAACTACAATTCCGGACAAAGGAAGATAACTCCCATTTTTAAAGATGACTTTAATAATGACATCATTGATATTTTTAGAACGGATTTAGATTCCTGCACCTTGCAAAAGTTATGTAATTTTATTGACAAGTATAACATCATTTTGTAACTCTAATATCAGAGCATATATTTCATTGATAAATTTCTGGAAATGTTCATGGATAGGATGTACAGAATGTTATGATCAATGTACTATATTTTGTGTATCTCAAAAAGTAGTGATAAACCTTGGAAGATTTAGATATCAAGTCAGTACCATAGGGTTTTGATTGCATTTCATGCAATCTTTACCCAAAAATCATCATTCAAAGGCAATAACTCCTTTAAAGGGTATAATGACTATTTCTGCCAATTTGATTTTTATGTAGATCTTATTGTTATTGTTATTGTTATTGTCATTTTTACTTTTTAAAAGCCTTCTCTTTTTGTTATTGTTTTGAAGATAATAACAAAACTAGAGGCTCCAAATAGCCTGTGTCGCTCACCTTTGTCTATGTGCATATTCAACAAAGCACACTCTCCAACATTGTCGACAAGAAAAAAATTCATGACATAAATCTCTGTTTTGTTGATCTTGTAATGCTGATCATTTAGTATGTTTAGTTTATCTCTATCTTTTTCATTTCTTGCTCAAAACACAAAAGAGGGTAAACAAAATTCTCATTTAAGGGCCATCACTCCTATAAAGAGAATACTCTACTAACTATATCGCAAAATTTGACTTGTTAGTAGATCTTGCCTTGCTGATCATTTTTGTGATTTAAAGTGTCTATTTATCTATAATAATTTTTATCATATAAGGCAAAACGCAAAAAAATGGTAAAAATCGTTATTAAAGGGCAATAACTCCAATAAGGAGTTGTCAAATGATTTCCTCCATTTGCCTTAATTGTAGATATTGTTTTGCTGATCATTTTTGCTTCTTTAAGTTTTTATCTATCTATGATAATTCATAAGATCTAAGGCATATATGCAAAAAATTGGTAAAAATGTCATCAAAGGGAAATAACTCTAATAAGGAGTCTGCTGATCGTTTCAACCATGTTAGACTTGTTTGTAGAACTTGTCTTGCTGATCATTTTTGTAGTTTAAAGTTTTTCTCTATCTATTATAGTTTTCAAGATAATAGGCAAAAATGAAACAAGAGGCTCTCAAGAGCCTGAATCCATCACCTGTTAAAATTTTGGTTAAATCTTTCATCAATGATTATTTTTGCTTTTCAATACATATTAATGAGCGGCTAAAAAATGCCACTTAAATGTTCATTGTATCTGTCATATTTTCTTCAAAAGCAAATAAATGCATTTTACGTATATGTTCCATTTTAGCCATAGTTTCTATGTTTCTTGACGTACAAGGAAATAAAATACAAAATTTATACTAGATTCATTTCTTTTTTTAAAGTTAAAAAACATAAACAACTTGTGTATAATTGTCCTTAAAGGGCAATAACTTCTTAAGGGGTCAATTGACAATTTTGGTCATACAAAACTTTTTTGTAGATCTTACTTTGTTGGACATTTTTGCTGTTTACAGTTTATCTTTATCTTCAATAATATTCAAGATAACAACCAAAAACTGCAAAATTTCCTTAAAATAATCAATTTAGTGGCAGCAACCCACCAATGGGTTGTTCGGTTTGTCTGAAAATTTCAGGGCTGATAGATCTTGACCTTTTAAACATTTTACCCCATGTCAGATTTGCTCTAAATGCTTTAGTTTCTGAGATATAAGCCAAGAACTGCATTTGACCCCTATGTTCTATTTTTAGCCATGGCGGCCATGTTTGTTGATTGATCAAAAATTCGGATATAATCATAAACTAAATTCCTAAAGGAACATTTATTTAAAGTTAAGAAGTATAAGCACAATAGTTTCAGAGGAGAAGATTTTTAAATGTTAGCAAACTTGATGAACAAATTGTGTAAAATTTTCTTTAAAGGGCAATTACTCCTTAAGGGGTCAATTGACAATTTTGGTCATATTTACTTTTTTGTAGATCTTACTTTGCTGAACATTATTGCTGTAACAGATTATATCTATCTATAACAATATTCAAGATAATAACAAAAAACTGCAAAATTTCCTTAAAACTACCAATTTAGTGGCAGCAACCCAACAATGGGTTGTTCCATTCGTCTGAAAATTTTAGAGCTGATAGATCTTGACCAATTGAACAATTTTACCCCATGTCAGATTTGCTCTAAAAGCTTTAGTTTTTGAGATATAAGCCAAAAACTGCATTTGACCCCTATGTTCTATTTTTAGCCATGGTGGCCATGTTTGTCGATGGATCAAAACTTCCAACACAATTTATAAACTACATACCCTAAGGAACATTTATTTAAAGTTTGAAGGTATTTGGCCCAGTAGTTTCAGAGGAGAAGATTTTTTAAATAGTTTATGACGACAGACGACGACGGACGCCAAGTGATGGCATAAGCTCACATGAGGCCCTTTGGGCCCCGGTGAGCTAAAAAATGGTAAAATTTGTCATTTAAGGGCAATAACATCCAATAAGAAGTCGTCTGACAGTTTTGACGTATATGGACAATTGGTAGAGCTCCACATTCTGAACATTTCTGTTTTGTCAGATTTTCTCTATTTATAAAGGTTTTCAAAATAATAGACAAAACTTGCATTTTACCCCTATAATCTATTTTTACTCATGTCGGCCATTGTGGTTGGCAGACAGGGTCATCGGACACATTTATTTAACTAGATACCCCAATGATGATTGTGGCCAAGTTTGGTTGAATTTGGCCCAGTAGTTTCAGAGGAGAAGAATTTTGTAAAAGTTAAAAGACGACGACAGATGATGGACGCCAAGTGATGAGAAAAGCTCACTTGGCCCTCTGGGCCAAGTGAGCTAGAAAAGAAATTTGTAAAAATAAAATATTTTAGGGGCAATAACTCCAAAACAGTTTGTCAGATTTTCCTGAAAATTCCATAGTAAGTAGATAAACCTTGACCTGTTAGTCATTTTCATCATGTCAGTTTTGTTCTATTAGTCATTTTTATCATCATCATGTCAGTTTTGTTCTAACAGTTTTAGTTTTCCAGAAAGCTAAACACTGATATTTTCTACAAAATTCACATTTTAGGGGCAATAACTACATAAAAGGTTGTCATATTTTTCTTAAAATTTTAAAGGAGACAGACCTTGATCTGCAGATAATTTTTACTGGAGCTTGTTTTGCTGTCACTGCTCTACTTTAAGAGATATAAGCCAAAATATGATGGATCAAATCCAAGGAAATGTTTTTTTAATCTAGATTTCCTAATGAGCATTCAGGTAAAGTTTGGTAATATTTGGCCCAATAGTTTTATAGGAGCAGATTTTTTTTAAAAGTTTACAACAACAGATAATGACAAAGGACACCAAATAATGGCAAAATCTAACATGACCTTTTAACCCACATTCTGTATGTGCCTGTCCCAAGTCAGGAGCCTGTAATTAAGTTGCTGTCTTTTTTTGCTGTTAATCATATTTGTTTTTTTTGTTTATTGCTTTGTATAGTTACCGGTAATTCTTGTGTTATGCTTCTGCATCACAGTCCCAGGTTAAGGGAAGGGTTGGGTGTCTACTAACATGTTTAACCTGGCCACATTCTGTATGTGCCTGTCCCAAGTCAGGAGCCTGTAATATCAGCGGTTGTCATTTGTTGCTGTATATCATATCTGTCTTTTGTTTATTGTTTTGTACATAAATCAGGCCATTAGTTTTCTACAAGATTTGTTTTACATTTGTCATGTGAGGGCCTTTTACAGCTTGCCATGGGGTATGGGATTTGCTCATTATTGAAGGCCTTACGGTGACTATAGTTGCTAACATTCATATCATTTGGTCTCTGGTGGAGAGTTGTGTCTTCTTATTTTTATAAATGAAAATATTTCTTATGATACACGTAACAATATTGGAAAGACTGGATTTGTTGATTGTCTGAAATGATTGCTTACAAAAGGATCTGGAAGGATGAAATTTACTGACTACACTATATGCATACATAATTTGATATGCCTTTGATTATAAGTACCTTATACAAATATTTGTGACAACCAAGGATTCAATAAAAGTTGGGAGAATTAAATTTTTCCAAATTGAATATACAATGCATTTGCAAATAAAGGTGAAAAAAGTTATTGTCTTTAACAGTCAATATGCTTATGTGATAACAACCTCTACAATCTTAGCTATATCTATTTTAATTTTTGCCACATGTTTGCCTAGAAATTCAGTAAATTTGTTCCTAAAGTATTATACATGTAGAAGCATACTGACCAGTCATACATTTTGACAAAATTTCTAGTGTATGACTGCATAGCAGATTAATGATTGTAGTATACAGGATTAGATGGTTTTTATTAGGCAAGCATATACAAAAATGTATTTTTAAATATCTATAGCCAATTATACTTGACAATGTACTCTTTATGAATCTTTTTTTACTAAATCTATCAAATTTTTACCTATTTAAATTTTTTCAAGAGCATCCCATATTTTTTCTTCATGAATAGATTCAGATGTGTTCTTGTGCGCAATAAAAAATATCTCCATAAGTTTTTCAACTGTTGCACTATGTCCAAGTTTATTCCTCCATTTAACAAGAAGGTCATGGCATGCAGCCTCTGGAGCCCGTAAATGTTTATATTCAATGTGTTCTACATCTACTTTGGAAAATCCTAGACATGTTCCAACTATCTGTAAATGTGCTGGTGTTATAGCCTTACTAAAACACAAAAGGTCAATGTCTTTTAAATACTTCCCTCCTTTGTCAGATGGCATTCTGTCTCCAATCCAATCCTCTGAAAGAAGATCATAACTGTTATTTTAAACATGATATTCAACTTTTTTGTTATCGTCAAAACACTTATGGTGCAGTAGAATGGTTAAATCATAGAAATAGATGCCAAGTTAAACAATTGTAGAGATTTTCAAACAATTTATCATATGAGAGGGCAGAAGCATGAACCCCAGGAACAAGCCTAAAGTTCACTGGACAGGGTTTATGGTTGCAGAATTTAATATGGTTTAGGGGGTGGTTATCTGAACCCTTTATTGATATATTTAACAATTTATGATTCAAATGAGTCGATGGTTTCTGTAAAGCACTTAAGAATATAAAACATGTTTAACCCTGCCGCATTTTTGCGCCTGTCCCAAGTCAGGAGCCTCTGGCCTTTGTTAGTCTAGTATATTTTTTTAATTTTAGTTCATTTATATGTTTTGGAGTTTAGTGTGACATCCATTTTCATTGAACTAGCACACAATTTTATTTAGGGGCCAGCTGAGGACCACCTACGGGTGTGGGATTTTCTCGCTGCATCGAAGACCCATTGGTGGCCTTCGGCTGATGTCTGCTCTTTAGTCGGGTTGTTGTCTCTTTGACATATTCCCCATTTCCATTCTCAATTTTATACATGTAAGGTATAGGGGTGGGAACAGTGTTCTAGATATTTCACAACTGATGATATGTGTTTATTATGATATGCAGGGAGTTGGGCATGTCCTCATGGACCAAATCTATGGCAAACTAGAAAGGTTATCAAGATTATTGAGACTATACAGGATGGGGATCTGATTTATTTTAGACATTTAACTATTTATTATATGAGGTGGTAGGGCATCACCCTGAAATTCAAACCTTTCATAATGCAATGAAAAGGGTTTGCCATGGCAAGCTAGAATAAATTTATAGTTTTGGGGTGGAGTCATAAAAGTTCCATTATTTGACCATGAAGATCAAAGGTGAACTTCAATGTTATGTGAGACATTGTCTTTAGGTGCTTCGTCTATGTGGCATATTTCAAAAACCTGTCAAAGGATAAAAAAATGCCCTCCGCCTGCAGCAGCTGGATACAACCGCAGAGGTCAAATTCTGAACAGATGGGGCAAGTATGGATACAATATTCAAGCTTGATACAGCTCTGATTTTGGATAGTGATTAAATATTCGACACATTATAGATTTCTGACACAGAATAAATGTGGTCAGATAACTTAAAAATTTGAAATGGGACATTTAATCTTCTTAATGGTCCAATATCCAAAATCTAATTCCATGGTTAGATTCAGCATATAAAAAAAAAACATGAATTCAAACAAAGTTTAATTTTGGACCCTTTGGACTTTAATATGGACTTATTTGAAAACAGGGCACAAAATTAAAAATCTGAATGGACAGTTAGATTCAGCATATCATAGAACCACCAGAATTCAGTTTTTGATGAAATCAAACAAAGCCTAATTTTGGACCCTATGGACCTCAATGTAGACCTATTTAAAAATGTCCAAATATCCAATATAGTAATACATGGTAAAAACATCAAACAATTCAAGACTATAAATTAATCCTCATTGAAATTGGTTAAAAGATTTGTATTCATTTTCAATTGAAGATTTCTTGCTGTTGTGCAATACTTTGCTGTTACGAAATACTTAGTAAATCTGTTTACAAACTAAATATAATAATTTACACACCCTGTTTGGTGTGTATCTCCTGCCATATCAGTATTTGTTGTTTCTTTATATAGATCAGAAATAATTTATGTTAGAACAAGCTTAGCCAATAATAGAAAAGTCTTCTATGGTCCCTATTTGGCCTCTAGTTTCTTAACAATGAAAGCCATAACCCACAAACTCGACCCCAACCTTCTGTGTGTGGTATGGAACATTGTGGTACAATTTCATAGAGATCCATTGACTAATACTTAACTATTTGTCCGGAAACCAGAAAAACTTTGTACCCCTCCCCCTTTTTTGCCCCTTTTCCCCTGAACAGTTTGAGCCAAAGCCCCCAAAGTCAAACCCAACCTTCCCTTTGTGGTATGGAACCTTGTGGTAAAATTTCATAGAAATCAATACACTTATACACAAGTTATTGTCTGGAAACTAGAAAAATGCCTTTTTGGCCCCTTTTTGACCCCTAATTCCTAAACAGTTGAGACCATAACCCTCAAAATCAATCCCAACCTTCCTTTTGTGCTATTGAACCTTGTGATTAAATTTCATAGAGATCCATTCACTTATACTAAAGTTATTGTCTGAAAACCAAATGTTTTCGGACGACGACGACATGATAGCAATATACGAACGCAAATTTTTTGAGGTCGTATATTTTTATACGACCGAAAAAAATATTTTTGGTTTACAGTTTCTACCTATTTATAACAGTTTTAGAGATACAATGTAATAGGAAAACACATTAAAAAAAATCTTCAAAAATCATCTTTTAAAGGCAACAACTATTGTGAGGTGGGTAGATCTTGACATTCTGATTATGAGCATATGTATTTTTCTTAATCTGTTATGATTTTTTAAGATATAATACAATTAATGCCTTTTATCCTTGTGTTCTATTTTTAGCCATGATGGCCACTTTGGTTCATTGGCAGAAAAATGTGAACTTTATGCTAGAAACCCTAAAAATCAATTATTTTGAAGGCATTTATTTTGAGATATTTTTCAAACAAGGTGTTAAAAGATGCAGAATTGTCTAAAGTACATTTGTTGATCATAGTTTTGAAATCAATTAGTTATGTTTTCTCTTATTATGAACATGTATAATAATTTTACAAACGAAAGTGAACCAACGCCTGGTAATTCTGTAGTAAGGTAGAGTCCCTGAAGTGGATACCTCGGGTATGCAGGGTCGTTCTCTTTCAAAGAATACACCGCAATACACAACAAATGAATATGGTTACGTTATGGACCTAACCAAGGAAGATTACATTGACCTCACAACAAGCAGCAGCGATGTAACAATTTGTCTAGATGAGCTACCAGAACAGTTATGGGACAGACACGTTTTTGTACATTCAATTTATAACATTTTCAGCTAAGTCATTAATAAGATAGACTTTTATACTTAAGCATGCTCGATGTATTATTTGTATCCTGATGACGGTGCCCTAGGCACCGAAACATGTCGATAAATAAATTTTCTGCAGCAGTGCCTAAAGTGTTGTTGTTATAAGACTTTTTACATGTATAATAATTGTTTACAATTCATTTTGGTCATGTTGGTTGAAATATAGAGCAAATTTCTGAACAAAAAATAATACTTTTGGTTAAATCATGAGAAATTGAAAACGCTCTACAACAAAAATATAACAAAATAAACAATAAGCCTTTGACAATTCTGCTTCTTTTGGTACCAAGTTGATGAAAATCTCACCAGAAATGTCCCCACAATTTTTTTTTTTTTAAATGTAGTTTTATATGAAATATATAGTGAAAAGTCACAAGTGACGAATACTTTTGACCATGTACTGCATGTACTGCAGGACGAAAATATGTTTGATATGAATATGAATCCTGTTTTGTAGAAGACCAACATGCTGAGATGGGTTTTTAATGTGCAAGTTCACAAGTTGACAGTTCTCAAAGGAACATCCAGTAGCAAATTAAATGCATACATTGTATTAAGGATGAGAACATGTTAATGTGATATAAAAATGAATCCTGTTTTACAGAAACCAACATGTTCACAAGTTAACAGTACTCAAAGGACATGTCACCCTACCCTGATATGATATTCTGACTATGGCAAACCAGTCTTTGCTTAACTCATGAATGCATGGCGCCTTAAAGAGAAGCAAATAATACCGATAATAATATTATAACTAAACTCTTTGGTTTGATGCAATGAAATGTATGATAGATGATATTACATTGCTTTAACAATTATTTGTTTTTCGTAAAATCATATATACCTACCAATTTTTTCTTCTTGAATTATCTCTACTTTTGTATCCTCTATTTGTTGTGCTATATCTTTGTATGAATCATCTTCTTTTAAACACTTGATGAATACTTCATATCCTTTTTGATGACTTCTAATGAGGAGTGTAACAAATTCCCTATTCTTATCTTTTTGTGTTGCTCTTGAGTTTATTTTTTCCAAATCATCTAAATCAAAAACCTCATCTTCAATCATTTGATCTAATATACTGTCAAGCCTCAGATTTTCAATAATATTTTTATAGTTTTTCTTAATCCTAGAAGCATCTTCTTTCTTCAGAGGCATGGTATTTGTTCTAAATAAAAAAATTCAATTCAGAGCCTTGAGTGAATAGCTTATTTAAACAGTTTAGCAGTACCTATAATTGAGGTATTTTTCACACACTGCAAGTTATTTAGCACAAATTGCAACTTATTTACATTAGTTAATAACTGTAATTTCTGTAATAACATTAGCTTTTAATAAAGCAGATATTATGCAAATAGCAATTCTAAAAGTCACAGTATTTAACTGTTTTGTAAGTACAAAGTTTGTCAATATAGAAACAAGATCTGCTTTTATTTATCTTAACAGATCTTGTTTCTGTTTTTACAAAATTTGGACTTTCAAAATTGTTCAATACTGTGACATTTAGAATAGCTATTTGTAAAATATCTGCCAACCATTCAGGGCTTGACATTACCATTTGTCCAATTGTCCTGGACAAGTGGACATCGGCGTCAAATAAGTAGAATCACCATATTAGTTGTCTGATGGTAAAAGTGAAAAATCCATGATAAAAAACATATCAAACTTTCAAGACTTACAAATGCCTAAAATATGAACAATTCTTTTATAGATCAATTGAAATATAAATTCAATTTTAATCATGGTATTTATGATTAGTTTATTCATTGATTGACATGTTGTCTGACTGAAGCTTTCATATCAAAAGAGATAAATCCTGAGCGATCCAGGTTGCTGGAATCATGACATGCATGATTGCCATTCCATTGCCCTAATGTCCACAACATATTTTGACCAATCATGATGTCAAATGGCTTCATACGTTTTCAATAATTCTTTTATTTGTTCTACATGTAGGCTTAAAAGCCTTAATTGCATGAGATTTGATTAACAATGAATTGTAGATATAATCATGATAATTGCATAATTATAAAAGAGTGCACACACAGAAATGTCTCGCCTGCTTTACTACCATTGATTTTATGTTGATAGCCCTAAATATAAAGCTTTACTACAAATATCACATTAACTTATCATGATCCAAGAAACTGAGGTCAAGGTCAGATAAACCAAGCCAGAAATACCTGTACAGCTTACAATCATTCCATACATTGAATATAGTTGACCTATTGCTTATAGTATACAAGAAACAGACCAAAATGTGAAAACTTTATATTGACCAATGAACCATAAATATGAGGTCAAGTTCAGATAACACTGCCAGACAGACATGTACACTTTACAATCATTCCATGGATCAAATATAATTGACGTATCATATATAGTATCTAAGAAACAAACTTAACCACAAAAACTTATCATTGACCAATAAACCATGAAAATGTGGTCAAGGTCAGATAATACCTGCCAGACAGACATATAAACATTGAAATCATTCCATACACCAAACATAGTTGACCTATTGCTTATAGTTTAAGAAAAACAGACCAAAACACAAAAAACTTAACCTTGAGCAATGAACAGTCAGGGGTACTACTTGTACAAGTTATTTTTATCTACTTGAAGAAGTAAATAATAATATACTCATATAAGTAAATTTGTTATATTCATCTTTTCTTATAAAGTTTGAATAATCTCCCCTTAATTTTCTCAAAAAATTTACTTGTATTAGTAATTTTTTTTACAATCCCTAAAATTCTCCAGTTTTGGGATGTAAATTCATGCCTTTAAACAATCTTTCTCTGGTTAGAGTTCAATGTTTCATCTCATTAATTCAACAGAGAAACTAATTGAGCAAAGATCTAAAGTATTTGCAAAAGGCCTTCAAAAATTGCCCCTTGGAGACTTGTAAATGAGCAGGGTTTTGAAGATAACAGACAAATGAGAATTTCATTGTCCATGAAATTACACTTTAAAGATAAGTAAAGACATCTGCAATGGACAGACAATTAAAAATTCTAGTAGAGCAAAGAAGTCCTGAGAAATTCAAGAAAAGAAGATAGTATGACTTTTTTACCTGTATAAGTAAAAAAATCTGAATGTCTAAGGGACATAACTAAGCCATTAAATTTTTTTACCTATACAAGTAAATAAAATACACTTGTATGAGTATCTTACAATTTTACTTATATAAGTATATTAATATTTACTTCTTCAAGTAAATAAAAATAACTTGTACAAGTAGTACACCTGACTGATGAACTGTGAAAATGAGGTCAAGGTCAAATAAAACCTGCCAGACTGATGTGTACATCATAAAATATTTCCATACACCAAATATAGCTGACCTATTGCATACAGTATTAGTAAAATAGACCAAAACACAAAAACTTAACTTTAACCACTAAACCATGAAAATGAGGTCAAGGTCAGATGACACCTGCCAGTTGGACATGTACACCTTACAATCAATCCATACACCAAATATAGTAGACCTATTGCTTATAGTATCTGAGATATGGACTTGACCACAAAAACTTAACCTTGTTCACTGATCCATGAAATGAGGTCGAGGTCAAGTGAAAACTGTCTGACAGGCATGAGGACTGTGCAAGGTATGCACATACCACATATAATTATCCTATTTCTCATAATAAGAAAGAAATTAAGATTACAAAAATTCTAAAAAAAAAATTTCAAGTAGTCACTGAACCATGAAAATGAGGTCAAGGACATAGGACATATGACAGGCGGAAATTTCATAACATAAGGCATCTATATCTATATTTAAATTTTTTATGTTGTGTATATACGTTCCCCTCAAAGTGGATTTTTCTTTAAAATATGTTTTTTACTGATAATTGAAATATACACTAGTTTATTTAATTTTTTTACTGCTAGAGAATATTATTTTAATGAAAAGAAGTATGGCTTTGATTTATTTGCTGTACAAAATTCTTTTGATTGAAAAAAAGAATTTCTTAGTAGACCATGATTTAAGAAATGAATGTTGTGATTATAATCAATTTGTTGCAGATTGTACCTGTTAAACAACAATTTTAGAAAAAACAAAAACAAAAAAAACAACAGAATGATTCATGTACCGGTAATACATAGTTTAAAAAATAAGATGCAGAAATTCAGGACAGATAATCCCTTGTGACTGTAATATAGAACCCTAAAATTTGAATTCTAGATATCAAAACATTTGGCTGTACCTGGTCTAAAACTAAAATTTGTAAAAAAACAAGAAAGTTAAAAGATTTATTTTTGATGTAGCATTCTTTATTCAGTTACAGACAAATTCATATAACTCAACAAATTACTCCTTTCATCATGTAAGCTTAAAGCCCAAAGTGTCACTGTGCACATAATCAATATAATGCTTGTGTTAAACCTATACTTCTTTATTGTAGTGAAGTTTGGTCTCTATATACATGTATGATTAAAGATATTACAAATCTAGAGTAAAAATATTGGTCATTATATACCATTAAAATTCAGATTAAATTTGCAAAAACTTTAATTGGAGTAAATAAAACAGCTGTCAATTTAGCAGTACTAGCTGAACTTGGTATGTATCCAGTTTTTATAGAAGCTTTAAAACTGTCAATTGGCTTCTGGTTGCATGTGATAAAATCTGGTAATAATTGTTTACACATGTACTTAAAGATGTATATAGTTCAAACCTGCAAATAACCAATGGAATTGCAAAAAAGATTGAACAGTTACTTGCTACATGTACATTAAATTTTTCACGTTTGGGAAAATCATGATACTATTTATAAAAGGCGTTTATTATATGCACTTCATAACAAACTTAATGATAGATATCTGAATTATTGGAAAGAAAATATTTTTTGTGATGATAAAACATTGCAGGGTAATAAGCTCAGAACTTATAGACAGCTTAAAGAAAATTACAAATTGGAAACCCATTAAAAATGATTTATTGTTAAGTATTGACAGAAAAGTAAAAGGACATTTTGCCAAAATTCGCATAAGTAATAGTGTTCTTAAAATTGAACAAGGTCGACACACTAAAACTTTGATTTCTATAAAAAAGTGAGTTAAGAGATAGGACATTGACAAGTCTCAACAAGAGGCTCTCAAGAGCCTGAATCGCTCACCTGTATATCACAGAGGAGAAGATTTTTAAATGTTAGCAAACTTCATGAACAAATTGTGTAAAATTGTCTTTAAAGGGCAATAACTCCTTAAGGGGTCAATTGACAATTATGGTCATATTAACTTTTTTGTAGATCTTACTTTGCTGAACATTATTGCTGCTTACATTTTATATATATCTATGATAATATTCAAAATAATAACAAAAAACTGCAAAATTTTGTTAAAACTACCAATTCGGTGGCAGCAACCCAACAATGGGTTGTTCGATTCGTCTGAAAATTTCAGGGGCAATAGATCTTGACCAATTAAACAATTTTTACCCCATGTCACATTTGCTCTAAAAGATGTAGTTTTTGAGATGTAAGCCAAAAGCTGCATTTGACCTTTATGTTCTATTTTTAGCCATGGCGGCCATGTATGTCGATGGATACAAACTTTGGATACAATTTATAAACAAGATACCCTAAGGAACATTTAGTTAAAGATTGAAGGTAATTGGTATAGTAGTTTCAGAGGAGAAGATTTTTAAATGTTAGCAAACTTGATGAACAAATTGTGTAAAATTGTCTTTAAAGGGCAATAACTCCTAAAGGGGTTAATTGACAATTATGGTCATATTAACTTTTTTGTAGATCTTACTTTGCTGAACATTATTGTTGCTTACAGTTTATATATATCTATAATAATATTCAAAATAATAACAAAAAACTGCAAAATTTTGTTAAAACTACCAATTCGGTGGCAGCAACCCAACAATGGGTTGTTCGATTCGTCTGAAAATTTCAGGGGCGATAGATCTTGACCAATTAAACAATTTTACCCCCATGTCACATTTGCTCTAAAAGATGTAGTTTTTGAGATATAAGCCAAAAACTGCATTTGACCCTTATGTTCTATTTTAGCCATGGCGGCCATGTTTGTCGATGGATACAAACTTCGGATACAATTTATATACAAGATACCCTAAGGAACATTTAATTAAAGTATGAAGGTAATTGGCCTAGTAGTTTCAGAGAAGATTTTTAATGTTAGCAAACTTGATGAACAAATTGTGTAAAATTGTATTTAAAGGGCAATAACTCCTTACGGGGTCAATTGACAATTATGGTCATATTAACTTTTTTGTAGATCTTACTTTGCTGAACATTATTGCTGCTTACAGTTTATATATATCTATTATAATATTCAAAATAATAACAAATAAAATGCTCCGCAGGGCGCAGCTTGATACGACCGCAGAGGTCGAACCCTGAACAGTTGGGGCAAGTATGGACACAACATTCAAGCTTGATACAGCTCTGAATTTGGATTGTGATTAAATATTTGACACAGCATAGGTTTCTGACACAGAATGAATGTGGTCTAAGAACTTAAAAATTTTAAATTGGTCATTCACCTATTATGGTTCAATATCCAAAATCTAAATACATGGTTAGATTCAGCATATCAAAGAACCCCAAGAATTCAATTTTTGATGAAATCAAACAAAGTTTAATTTTGGACCCTTTTGACCTCAATATGGACAAAGTTGATAACGGGGCCCAAAAATCAAAAATCTAAATACATGGTTAAATTCAGCATATCAAAGAACCCAATATATTCAATTTTTGTTGAAATCAAACTAAGTTTAATTTTGGACCCCGATTTGGACCAACTTGAAAACTGGGCCCATAATCAAAAATCTAAATACATGTTTAGATTCAGCATATCAAAGAACCCTAAAAATTCAATTTTTGTTAAAATCAAACTAAGTTTAATTTTGGACCCTTTGGACCTTAATGTAGACCAATTTGAAAACGGAACCAAAAATTAAGAATCTAAATACACGGTTAGATTCGGCATATCAAAGAACCCCAATAATTCAATTTTTGATGAAATCAAACAAAGTTAAATTTTGGACCCTTTGGACCTCAATGTGGACCAATTTAAAAAAGGGGCCCAAAATCCAAAAACTTAATACACGGTTAGATTCAGCATATTAAAGAACCCCAAGAATTCAAGAATAAAACCCCATTGAAATTGATCAAGAAATAAGCAATTTATACGGAGTATCTTCTTTTGCACAATACTGTGCAATTGAATATTTCTTGCTATTGCGCAATACTGTACAATTGACAATTTCTTGCTATTGCGCAATATTGTGCTATTGGATATTTCTTGCTATTGTGCAATACTGTGCAATTGAAGATTTCTTGCTATTGCGCAATACTGTGCAATTGAAGATTTCTTGCTATTGTGCAATACTGTGCAATTGAAAATTTCTTGCTATTGCACAATACCTATTATATAATAATTTACACATCCTGTTTGGTGTGTATCTCCTACCATATCATTATTATTTGCTTTTAAATATTAATCAGAAATAACCAACTTAAAATGGAAAATTTTAAAAGAAAAAAAAAGGAAAAAAAGAAAAAAAAAGTAAAAAAAAATCCCCCCCCCCCCAAATTTTTTGAACCCCCTTATGATTCATCACCCCCAAACTCAATCCCAGCCTTCCCTTTGTGGTATGGTACCTTGCAGTACAATTTCAGAGAGATCCATACACTTGAACACAAGTTATTGTCTGGAAACTAGAAAAATGCTTATTTTTGGCCCCTTTTTGGCCCCCAATTCCTAAACGTTTCGGGCAATTACCCCCAAACTCAATTCCAGCTTTCCCTTTGTGATATGGAACCTTGTAGTACAATTTCAGAAATATCCAAACACTTACACACAAGTTATTGTCATGAAACTAGAAAAATGCTTGTTTTTTGCCCCTTTTTTGGCCCCTAATTCCTAAAATTTTGAGGCAATTACCCCCAAAATCAATTACAGCCTTTCCTTTGTGATATGGAACCTTGTGGTACAATGTCAGAGAGATCCATACACTTACACACAAGTTATTGTCTGGAAGTTACAAAAATGCTTATTTTTGGCCCCTTTTTGGCCCCTAATTCCTTAACTGTTGGTACCATAACCCCCAAAATCAATCCCAACCTTCCTTTCGTGGTATTGAACCTTATGGTAAAATTTCATGGAGATCCATTCACTTAAACTAAAGTTAGAGTGCGAAAACCAATGTGTCTTCGGACGATGCCGGACGACGACGACGCCAACGTCATACCAATATACGACCAAAAAATTTTCAATTTTTGCGGTCGTATAAAAACTGCAAAATTTTGTTAAAACTACCAATTCGGTGGCAGCAACCCAACAATGGGTTGTTCGATTCGTCTGAAAATTTCAGAGCTGTTACATGTAGATCTTGACCAATGGAACAATTTTACCCCATGTCAGATTTGCTCTAAAAGCTTTAGTTTTTGAGATACAAGCCAAAAACTGCATTTGACCCCTATGTTCTATTTTTAGCCATGGTGGCCATGTTTGTCGATGGATCAAAACTTTGGATACAATTTATAAACTAGATACCCTAAGGAACATTTAGTTAAAGTTTGAAGGTATTTGGCCCAGTAGTTTCAGAGAAGATTTTTGAAATAGTTTACGACGACAGATGACGAAGACGGACTCCAAGTGATGGCATAAGCTTACATGGGGCCCTTTGGGCCCCGGTGAGCTAAATAATGATAACATAGAGGCCTGCAATTCATAGTATTGCTTGGGATTTTACATGTGTTTAAGAATAAAAAGAAGCATCTTTTATTCCAATTATATGCCCTGTGAAGTCCAATGGTGAAGAGCAAATCAAAGTGCTTGTGAGCACTGAAGGGTAAAGATTGCTTTCATTTTGCAATTTTGTGAATTCAAAAGAAAACATTGACTTATAATTAGATAGGAAAATTAAAAATTTGAGTTGGAGTTATCTTCCTTTGTTCATAATTGTACATTTGTAGTTGAGTCTATTCTTATAACAGATTCATACACCATGAATTACTTATGTAATTTTCAATAAAGAAAAGTTTTTCTTGACAAGTATGGTAATTCAAATACCATTCATATTGTAACTTGAATATCTAAGTATAACATATCATTAATAAATTGCATGACGTTGATTGGAAAGTATCTAAAGAATGATCACTTCACAACATATATCATTTTAATTAAACTCATAATCAAAGGTAGTGTTAAATCTTGGAAGATTTAGACACTGTCAGTACCATAGGGTTTTGATTTCATTTCATGCAATCTTCACCTAAAAACAAATCATAGTTTTAGTTTAACCAGCCAAAGTTTTATGGAAAATTTAACTAAAATCTGGGCTATATTGTGTTTCTATTCCGTACGGGATTGAAGAAAAATGCAGATTTTCAACATATGTAAAACTGCGATATTTTTTCATATGAATAAAGGAAAGATTTTATTTTATATCTTCTTCAAAAAATATCATTAGATGTGTATTATTCTGAACCTCATTCCTTCCCGTAATATACGACGATTTCTATAAAAAAAAGAGTGTTTTCATAATTTTAAAATATGTTAGTGTTTTTATTCGATATACGGGATAGAATGAGGATCAGTATATATAAGAAGGTTTCTATTAAGAAAGTGTCTTTTTATGTAAAATACGGGATAGAATGAGGATCAGTATATATATAAGACGATTTCAATAAAAAAGTGTCTTTTTATATTGAATACGGGATAGAATGAGGATCAGTATATATAAGACGATTTCAATAAAAAAGTGTCTTTTTATATTAAATACGGGATAGAATGAGGATCAGTATATATAAGACGATTTCAATAAAAAAGTGTCTTTTTATATTAAATACGGGATAGAATGAGGATCAGTATATATAAGACGATTTCAATAAAACAGTGTCTTTTTATATTGAATACGGGATAGAATGAGGATCAGTATATATAAGACGATTTCTATAAAAAAGTGTCTTTTTATGTAAGAAACGTGTATCTTATTACGGGATAGAAAAGAATCAATAATTAATCTATATAAAAGTTTATGAAAGGGTTTTCTTTGGGGAGATGTTATAAAAAAAAGGGGTAAAGATATTTTTGGGGGAAAAGAAATATGAAAAAATCAATTTGTGATGCGAAATACGGGACAGTTTAAACTATCCCGTAATTGTATACATACAATGAAAACATTATAGTATGAATAAATGCAATCAATATGGTATAATCTATATATCGGTTTATTCCGTAATAAAGTTTATTTATAATACTCTCATTACGAAAAAAAAAACATATTTATTATTAAATTTTTGTCTATATATCCTTTATTCATAATTTCACGCTACACGATATACAACATAAACTATATATGCCATTTCATTCTTTCCCGTAAATGGAAATGACAGGATAGAATAAGGATATAGCTAAAATCTGTAACATAGCCCATTTACTGTAACTTAACAAAGCAAAGTATGTTTATTATAATATGTTCAAAATGCAAAATTAGGGGACAAATAAGAGTGATAGTCCTAATGAATGAACTTCTCGCATCATAACTGACATAAGGAAATCCCAGAAGTAAGATGAAGAGCTGTGATCCAGTATTATCATTGAGAAAATGTCTCTGTATATATATTTTTGTTTGTTTTGTTTTTAATAAATATGAGCTTGTATCTTTCCTGTATTGGGATTTACACCAATAAAATCATTGGATTTGATTTATCTTTGTGATAAAACTGCAAGGGCCCTTCAGGCTTCAGGAAAAAGTAGTTTAATAAGATTACTATAAACAGCAATAAACTATAGGTAAACATCATTGTGACATTGGAGGTAGATCTAGATCACACAGACATTATTCAAAATGGTAGGTTTATATAACATACGTTGAAAAACACCTTTATCTGTCCAACAGATTTTCAACAAGGAAGTAAAATATATTTCAAGAACCGTGAGTAAAAGATGGAATTTCAATTTGTTCGCCTTGAATCTAATTTAGAATGCGATACTATAAAAAAAATTTACTTGTCTTTATTCTAGATATTTTAATTATGGGATTGATACTTAAAAGAAGTATTTTAATAAAAAAAAAAAGAAGTAGAAATCCTTGTATAAATATAGATTGTTTCTATCCTTTATTCAAGTTATATATCTGATTCCCGGGCAGGTTTTGAATACAAACAGGAACCAGTATAAAAAAATATATAAACTAATACAGTAATAGAAATATGTGGTCAAGAACAACTTACATTCTCCCACGGTATTTTTCAAAGGATAAACTTTTTTCTTCTAACAAGCACATTTTTAAGTTGCAAAGTAGAAAAGCAAGCAGCGGTGCTATTCAGAAAGCTGACGATAAAGGAATAACTCAGAGTGAATCACTTGGTGGAGAGTATGTCCAGAAAGCATTAAAACCTAAAACAAATGAACCATTTGTTAAAAATTTATTTCTTGGAAATTTTGATAAGGTAAAAAAAAAGTACCAGGAAAGGCACGGACAGTACATGACTTTCCATTTGCTGCTAGTCCAAATAATTATGATCATGATGATGTCTTGAAAAAAGCTATTTTAATTTTTTTACCGGATTTTTGAAGGAAAAAATCGGTTATTGATTTTTGGATGTATTGTGAGCGGGCGGCTGCCAAACAGTGTCCGTTCATTAGCATGCAAACCCTTTGACGAAATTTTTTCAAATTTAGATATGTTGAACATTATTGTTGTTTCCTGTGACTAAATGAAGGTCAAGTTCATTTTTCACGATTCTAGCTTTTCTCATTGTTGAGTTGTCGACCTTTTAGTAGCCAAAAGTTATACTTATTATATGATTGAGTTATTTCCCTTTGAAAATGTTGAACAGAAATTGTGATTTGCAAATATCATTTTCATTAGATAATAATATATTTTTATTAAAGGATATATTTCATTACATTACATTGTGTAGATAAAATTGTTGACATTGATAGATAAGTTGCAGATCTATATTAGTTTGTGATAAATGAAAGAAAAAATATTGGGAATTATTAATTATATATATGAAGTTTGATTACACTAAGCATGCTAAGTGTTTTTAAATAATTCTCACCAGTTATCAGATAACAAAGCATCTGGTAAATATCTTATCACACAATTATAATTGGAGTCAGGGATTTATTTGAAATTTTCTGTTTCCTAAGTGTTGATGATGATAAGATCTTTAGGACAGTATAAATAAAGTTTGAAATTTACTGTACATATTTTTTTCTCTCTTTATTTTCCTATCATGCCTATTATATCATTAAAAGTTAAGAAAAAATTGATAATTAAATTCATTTAACAATACTGTAAAACAACAATTCTGATCAAGATCCGGAAATGGTTATATTTGCCAGACATGACCAAAACTAAAAGCTACATGTGTTTGTCCTTAACGGCCAAATTTTTTTTTACAGAAATATTTTCGGTCATTTCATCATGTTCATTAAGATTGGGTTCTTTATATTGCCATTTTGCCCTTGTTTTTGTTTTGCAATCCCTTTCCTGTAACCATGGTAACAAAACTGCCACTTCAAAATAGTATGATAATCCTGAGGGCCCTCCTAATAACCATACTAACAGATTAGTGCCTCGGGGAAACATTGGCTAATGATGGCTAGTCACTTTTTACCTGTGTTTTTGATTCACATCTGACAGTCACAGTGATCACAAGCTCAGAACTAATATTATAAAAAATTTTAATTGCCTGACAACATTCTTCATTATTTAATTGCTGAAGCAAGACAATCGTCAATTCTGATTTGAAAACTAAAACTTGATTTAATTTACGTAGAAAAAAGTAACTTTTCAAGATTTTAACTTTTGCGTAATTTACTATGTAATACGCATGTTTGAAATTTTCTTCACCAGATTAGACACTTAATCATAAAAGGCAAAATGATTTCGTGCTAATTAAAGGAGTGCAACTATTATCTGTTATATTCAAACACTTTTAAGGTTATTAAAATTAAAAGTCTGGTGATTTCTAGTCAATTTGATAAACAGAATGAATCCCGGAAATGAATCAGGAATTACTCGTACTTTTAATTCACATCTGACAGAGATCAGTATTATAGTTATACTTTCTGGTTTTAATTTCATCTTCAAAACTGAGAAAAACTTAAGCGATGTCTGAGAAATTTACCATTTTGAATCATTATAATTTCAATTTTAAACTGCTGCATTCCTTAACTGTTTTTGAAAGTTATTTTGAAAAAACTGTAAAAGAATTCATGTAGTAAATGTGACGAAACAGTCAATACAAGTTCGTTGATGGTATGAATCTAGTGTGAATAATTTTGACAGTTTGATTGTGTTTGAATAAATATATATTGTTTTTAATCGAATCATGATTGTTTTAATTGCTCTTAATATTTTATGTACATGTAAGTTTATAATGGGTTTTGATAACTTCTCAATGAAGATCAAAAGTGTACAGCTTTGTTTGCAGCTTGGGTTATCATCTGATCCCCACAATTCTAAAGACAACAAACAAGACAAATACCTGTATAAAACTATATTTTATTGTTTTAACTTTACAACCCATAACTTGATGCGCTTACAATCCATATTGAGCAAAAGCCCAGAGCATCATAAAATTGTCAACACTTTAGAATGTCCTATACTTTCACAATGTCAGACAAATGTAAGAAGTTGAATCAATATTTTTCAATATGATAAATTTTTTATGCCCCCGTCTTAGCAGAGGGGGCATTAAGTTTTACCCTTGTCCGTCCGTACGTCCCAAAATTGGTTTCCGTTCTCTTACTTTAGTTTACTTCAACCAAATGTTATGAATCTTATATACAATGCTTATTACCACAATACACAGATCATCTTTGATTTTTGGTGGCGTCACTTTTACCGTTGTAGAGTTATATTTATGCCCCTTTACAAATGGAAAAATTGCTGAATTTTTTGTTTCCGTTCTCAAACTTTTGTTTGCATCAACCAAATGTTATGAAACTTATACACAATGCTTATTACCACAAAACACAGATCAAGTACGAATTTGGGTGGCGTCACTTTTACAGTTCTAGAGTTGTGCCCCTTTACAAATGGAAAAATTGCTGAATTTTTCGTTTCCGTTCTCTAACTTAAGTTTGCCTTAACCAAATGTTATGAACTTATACACAATGCTTTTTACCACAAAACTCAGATCAAGTACGAATTTGGGTAGCGTCACATTTACCATTCCTGAGTTATGTCCCTTTATAATTTTATATGCAAGCGGGGGCATCATCTGTGTCCCATGAACACATTCCCCATTCATTTTATATCTATAATAATGTAAATGTAATTACAGTCTGTGTGCTCAGAAAAAAAGAGAGAAAAAATACAAAACATTTGCTTCTACTGACCCTGGGCATACCCGGTAGTATACTGTCTTTAAGCTGCTTACTTTTTGTACCCCATTCCATCTTGAGTTGGCATTACAACTACACCATAAGTTTGGATAAGAAAAAACAAAATTCGCATGGCTTTTGTGAATCATACTCGGAAGTTCGAAGATATCTCACAAGCTTAGAAAAAATTTGGAAATGGGCAGAATCCAAACATGTCATACATGTATTTACCTAACCGTATTGCTGCATTTGACGAAACAATAGTCATGATGGTAACATATGTTGAGCAAATTCAGAGCAAACGTTGAACCTGCAATTATTTGCTGTTGCCCAACAAGAACAATTGTCTATGACAGATGTTTTTGTACTCCCACATTATAAGAATATAAAGATTTCATGGGATTTCATCTTTTATATAGCAACAGTTGGTAAGTTATTAACTTCAGTTGGGCAGTATGACTTAGGTATCGACTCTTTAATTTATGCTCGAGATACAGTAAACAGATTCTTATTTGAGAAGAGTTTAATATTGGTGTTCCAGAATTAACACTGCCATATAAGGCTCTCATGGTTCCTTTATTAAAAGCATTTTTCAATTGATTCAGAGATGTAACCTGTATAATAAATATTGAACCCAACGTATGGAATGCATTCCTTGACTATCATGGTTCATTTTTTGTCTCATCCAAAAGCACTGAAGGCATTGAAGATTTTTTTACTGTTTGTCATGTTTGTAAAGACCACACATATTTGTTTGAGAAATTGAGAACACAAACTGTTTTTTTTCGAGGGACTTATGTCATCAGATTTCCTTTAAGACCGTATTTTAACATGCAAGGGTAAAGAGCTTGAAATATAGTTGAGTATGCTTCACACAGAATTTGGCTTGTACAAGCATTTGATCTTGTTGAGGGATTGCAGGATGTAGGAATCATCTTATTCACCAAGCAATTTCTTCTGAAGAATTTTTAGACAACGATGAAACGATGTCTGATCAAAATATGTAAAGTCAGAAATATTGGGAAAATTATTTCTTACAAATATATAACAGTAGAACTCATGGAAGGTGGGTACAGCTTTTACTATAAGGAATGTTTAAACCCATTGATGAACAGTGAGAAGCCCAGAGTTCTGAAAATGTTTTGCACTTTGCATGTTAAAGGACCCTTGCAGCAACTCTTTCTGAGTGGTCCATAATGGGCTGCTGATGTCAAAATTTCTACCAATACACTCATAATAGTCATAACTAAAAAATATACACTAACCTATCAGAACTTCATTTAAACCATTTCATTCAGTTACCCAGTGAAATATTTTCTGCTGATAACCGGTATATGATTAAACAGAATCAAAATTAACTTTGATTCTTTCATAAGAAACCGCTTGAAATTCAGAAATATATCTTTAAATGTACATGTTATGTAAAAAATATCAATTGAAAGCCATTTCCTGTTTCGTCTTTGGCTTTTCTTGTTGCCCACCTAAATTGCCCTAAAATGTATTTGCTCTATTTTAAGAGGTTGCACTTTGTAAATACAGCTGATTCACAAACCACACCTTTTTTGGAGAGATATATTATATTCATAGATATTTTGTT